TTTTAGTAGTAGAGATATCTGCACTGTAGAGGATTCTATGAATTTGTGTTCTTCTACTGTAAAGCATGAAGCAAAATATCTGTTTAACTCCTTGGCCATTTCCTTGTTCCCATAAATATCTCCCCAGATTTACTTTCCAAGGGGGGCCTATGTTCACTTTGACCCCTCTCTTTCTTATATATTTAAAGAAGCCATTATTGTCCGTTTATATATTACTCACTAGTTTGCCCTCATAACTCACTGCACAGCAATCAGCTTGTCAGCTAGGTGAGTCATCTCCCTTACTACTTGCATGTGTAAAAGCATGTGTGAATTGCCACATGCTATTTTTAATTCAGTTACTTATCAAGACATCTCTCAGACAGTCAAATACTAAAACAACTACTTAAACTTTATTACCTGTAGCAACCAAAGTAAGACCTGTCAAGTAAGCAAGTTAAACCTCACAACCCCAACTTACCTATTCCCCAATTAATGATGGAATTTAGTTACAATTCCATCCACGACTGTTTGTTTCTAAGAGTCCTCATGCAGTGTGGTTTGCCGGAGTTCTGCTGCTGAAGAATCTCAGAGTTGAATTTTCTGTCTTGTGATGTTTGTGATGTGACATTATAAATGTTCCTCTGGATCCACAATATTGATTACACCTCTGAGATCATCAAGTCTGTAGCTTGCCACCTTATCAGAATTAGTTTCTGTTGTCCTTGCTATATTGGTGTCAGCTGTCTGTTTGAAACACAGACTGCCCTGCCATTAAGTCCTTCACCTCAGGACATTTGTAATTGCCCATTTGTCACAAGCAGCTAGTTATCAAGCAGATGTTATCTGCTGTGTCCCAGGAAACCGTTTGTTTATATTGCTTTGACTCTTTCTTTGTCCCAGGATTGGTTTGTTGCTTTCAATTCCTTTGTAACAATTTGGCTTTGTCACTTTTATCCCAAGAAAAAGTTTATTACAGAAATGATTATTACTGATTTTTTTTCCAATCATGAGCAGTTAACGTTGTCACACTATTTTTGATCTTGCATGTTCTCCTTTGATTGTAAAAATGGTGTTATCCAGCAGGGAGCTGGGCTTCCTTTTTAAATTTGCAAACCAGGTCAAGGAACTTCACCTAAGGAGAAGAATTCCACCATCTACTCGTTGCTATATCTCTTTCAACCTCGGAGGCAGGTCTAATTGACGCACTCAAAGGGGAAATGATATTGTTACCTGTAAAGGACGAACATGCAGAGATACAGGGAGAAGTCTGAGGAATGGCACTCATCTGCAAGTACTCATTTGCAGTGCTGGTGTAGACATGAAAGAGTGAATGGTTCACTTTTATGTTATAGCAATTAGAGTCAGAGTTGTACAGCACGGAACAGACCCGTCAGTCCAACTCATCCATGTGGACCAGATATCCTATATTAAATTAGTTCCATTTTCCAGCATTTGGCCCTTATCCCTCTCAACCCTTTCAGTTCGTGTACGCATCCAAATGCCTCTTAAATGTTGTCATTGTAGCAGCTTCCACCACTTCCTCTGACTCCCCTACCCTGGAATAAAGACCTTGGCTATTCACCCTTTCCATGACCTTCATGATTTTATAAACTTCTATAAAGGTCACCCTCAGCCTCCAATGCTCCAGGAAAAATAGCCCCAGCCCATTTAGCGACCCCTGTAGGCTCAAATCCTCCAGTCCCAGACATATCCTTGTAAATCTTTTCTGCACCCTTTCAAGTTTAACAACATCTTTCCTATAGCAGGGAGACTAGAATTGAATGCAGAATTCAAAAGTGGCCTAGCCAATGACCTGTACAGCTGCAACATGACATCTCTACTCCTATACTCAGTGCACAGAGCAATAAAGGCAAGTGTACCAAACACCTTCTTCATTATCGTGTCTAATTGTGACTCCACCTTTAAAGAATTATGAACTTGCACTCCAACGTCTTTTGTTTGGCAACACTACCCAGGACCCTACATTAAGTATATGAGTCCTGCCCTGATTTGCCTTTCCAAAGAACAACACCTCACATTTATTTAATTCTGTGATTTCATGTAGGCTGTAGGGAGGAAATAGTAAATTTCAGGTGCCAGACTAGGAACAATAGTAGGCCATTCAGCCTCTTAAGCCTGTACACCAGCCAATGAGATCATGGTTGATTTGTGGTCTAACTCTATATACCTGCCTTCGGCCAATATCCCTTAACACCTTTGCTTAGCAAAATCTTATCTATCTCAGATTTAAAATTAACGACTGATCCAGCATCCACATCTACCACCCTTTGTGTGTAGAAGCGCTTCCAATCATCTCTCATGGAGTCCCTGCAGTTTTGAAGCAGGCCATTTGGCCCTTCAAGCCCACTCCCACCCTCTGAAGAGCATCCCACCCAGACCTAAACCCCTGCCCTATCCCTGTAAGCCTGCATTTTCCATGGCTAATCCACCTAGCCTGCATATCATTGGAAACAGTGGGCAATTTAGCATGGCCAATCCTCCCAAAGTGCACATCTTTGGCCTATAGGAGGAAACCCACACAGAAGCACATGCAAACTCCACACAGACAGACAGTCACCCCAAGGCTGGAATCGAACCCAGGTCGCTGGTGCTGTGAGGTAGCAGTGCTGACCACTGAGCTACTGCGATATTAATATCTTAAAGACTTTGATCAGATCACCTTCAATCTTCTAAATTTTGGAGAAAGCAAATCTACTTGTATAATCTCGCCTCATAACTTAACCCCTGAAGCCTAGGTATCAGTCTTGTAAACCTACATTGTAATCCCCCTAAGGCCAATAAATTCTCCTTGAGGTGTGGTTCCCAGATCTGCTCAAAGTACTCCTAAGTGGGGTCTAACAATTGATTTTTCATGACTACACGTAACTTCTGCATCCTTGTACACCAGTCCTATAGAAACGTACAGGCCAACATTACATTAGCTTTCTTGATTATTTTCTGCACCTGATCATGCCATTTTAAAGATCTATCTACCTGAACACCCTAGTCTCCAAATATCCACCACATTTAACTTCATATTATCTAGAAAGTACCCTGATCTATCCTTTTTTGGACCAAAATGGATAACCTCACGCTTGATAACATTGAACTCTATCTACAACAATTTTGTCCATTCTCTTCGGCTATCAAGATCCTTTTTTAATTTGATACTAACATTTCTCTGTCTAAAATACCGTTCACTTTGCATGAGAAAGATGACATTAAACCACAAAATTTGCAAGGATGTTATGGAGATTGGGGGCTTTGAGTTATAAGGAGAGCCTGGATAGGCTTGGACTTTTTTCCTTGGAGATCGAAGGGTGATCTTACAGAGGTTTATAAAATCATGAGGGACATAGATAAGGTGAATAACCAAAGTTTTTTACCCCCAGGGTAGGGAGTCCAAAACTTTTAAGTTGAGAGGGGAAAGATTTAAAAGAGACCTGAAGGGCAACTTTTTCGCATGAGGGTGGTGCGAACTGACAGAGGAAGCGGTAGAGGCAGGTAGAATTACAACATTTAAAAGACATTTGGACAGGTACGTGAATAGGGAAAATTTAGAGGTAAATGGGCCAAATGCAGGAACTTGTTCAGTTTAGGAAAGCTGGCTGGCATGGATGAGTGGGCTGAGGGGTCGTTCTCCATGTTGTATAACTCCATGACTTGTTGCTGATTCTAGTACTATATCATTATCTAAGGTTTTGGAGTAGATCTGTAGCTCGGGTTGTGGGTGTTGAGGTTGGTTGGCTCGCCGAGCTGGTTTGTTGTTCCGCAGATGTTTCGTTACCGTGCTTGGTAACATCCTCAGTGCAGCCTCTGATGAAGCGTCGACGTGTTTTCCCGCCTGGTTTTTAAACTCTGGTGTCCGTTGTGATGGATTGCCTCACTTCCGGGTTTCCTCCGTAGTGGAATGTATATGGGGTCGAGTTCAATGTGTTTATTAATAGCATGCTTCGTGGAGTGCCATGCTTCCTGGAATTCTCGTGCTTGTCTCTGCCTAGCCTGTCCCAGGATCTTGCTATTGTCCCAGTCGAAGTCATGGTTCTCCTTGTCCATGTGGATTGAGATGAGTGACCAATACTCAGAGTTTAAAAACCAGGCGGGAAAACACACCGACGCTTCATCACAGACTACACTGAGGATGTTACCAAGCACGGTAACAAAACGTCTGCGGAACAACAAACCAGTTCGGTGAGCCAACCAACCTCAACTATATCATTATGATCATGTATTTATGAAAGGTTACTGCTTTGAACCAGTTATAATTAATTTTGTCATAAATTGAACGTGTTATGAATTTACAATGAATAAAAATGACTAAGTGAGATTCAGAGATACAAAATAGTCCATAGTTTTGAAACTCCATTGACTTCCTTCAATGTTTGCTCCCTCTACCATCAATGCACAATGCAGGTACATACTGGCAGCAATCTGTATCATCTACAAGCTGCACTACAGCAACTCACCAACGCTCCTTCAACAGCACCTTCCAAACCTGTGGCCTCTATCATCAAGAGCAAGGATAGCAAAGCACCATGGGAACACCATGCCTGCAAATTCCCCTTTGAGTCACACACCATATTTCCTAGGAAATACATCACTGTTTCTTCACTGTCACTCGGTCAAACTTCCTCACTACACCATATGGACAACAGTTCGAAAAGGCAACTCACCACGACCACCACCACCTTCAAGGCAGCTGGGAGTGGACAATAAATGCAGGTGTAGCTTATGACCACCCACACCTCATAAGCTAAAGTTAATGTATTATTAAAACCAAAGTAGTATGTTCCTAGTCCTCCTTTTTATACCCTGATCTTCTTATCCCTGCTCCACCTCCTCCATGTGTGTCCCTGCCCCACTCCCACCTCCACCCAACCTCCCAGCACCCCTCCTCCTCTGTGTGCTTTTTGTCCCCTCTTTCAGTTCCTAATGGAAGTTGATAGAATATTTCAGCCCGAGGAGCAGAAATAGAAGGCAGATTTTGTTATTCCATTAATCTCTACTCTTGTTTACAGGAAACAAGGATTCATGTGTTGATCGTTGTGGGGATCATGTGAACCACAATTATAACTGTCAATGTAATAGTGCATGTGTGAGGCATGGGGACTGTTGCTCCGACTACAACTCGTGTGATGGTATGTAAAGAACCAGTGATAGTTTAAAAGTTAACAGAATGTTCAGCTGCTCAAATACAGAAACAGTGAAGAGCAACAGTGATGATGCTCCTCTTCCTGATCACCATCTCAGGCTGAACCTGACTTAACAATTTCCTATTTGATCCTGAACTACATTTCTGACTTCTGTCTCTCCATCACTAAGACCACGTTAAATTTATTCTCTCTTTCTGGATTTGTTTCTGACTTTCTTTGTCCTCCACTCTCATGCCAGTAAATTTGTTCTTCTCTGTCTTAGTCCCTCTGACCACAGTCACAGTCCCTCTCATTGTCTCGCTCTCTGTCTCTATTTATCTCTGTATTTTACATTGATTGCATTTGGAGAATTTTTACATCTTTGTGTCTCTCTTATCCATCCCTTATCAGAGTCATTATCTTTCTTATAGGACATTGAACAGTATAGCGTTGGAACAAGCCCTTCAGCCTACCAGTCTAGGCTCCCTTTCTCTCTATCTCTCTTTCACCTCTTGTTTTTTCTCCCATTCTCTGTCACCATTTCTCTTTCTCTCCCTCCCTCTCCTCGTTAAATGTTTGAAGTCTTGCTTTCTTTAATATAGTTCAATTTCCAACACTGTTTGGCTCCCGAGAAGAGTCATTGGACTTAAAATGATAACTCTGTTTCTCTCTCCAGAGATGCTGCCAGACCTACTGAGTTTCTCTTGCACTTTGTTTAAAATTTTCTTTCCCTATTATGATCTCTTTAATCAAATGTTTCCTCACATGTTCTAATATCCCTTTATCTGGTACGATGTTAAAAAGTTGTCTAATTACACTTCTATAAAGTACCTGCAAATGTTTGCAATATTAATAAATTTCTGTCTTGAACAGTCTCCCAAATGTGGGAAAGTTCACAAATCTGCACAAGTCATGATTCAGAGACACAACTGAACCTGCTGTTTTTTTACTCATTGCAGTGGGGTTGTCTTGCAGGAGAAGGTGCAGTGAAGCTTACAATCCCAACAACCCCTGTCACTGCCACACCAAGTGCAGCCAATATCATAATTGCTGCCAGGACTATTCTTCTCAGTGTGGGGGTAAAAGTGAACTACACTGAAAGTGAACTTCCAATTCCCCGGTCCCCAACACCTTATCTTTACCATGGACGTCCAGTCCCTCTACACCTGCATTCCCCATGCAGATGGCCTTAAGGCCCTCCGCTTCTTCCTGTCCCACAGGCCCGACCAGTCCCCCTCCACTGACACCCTCATCCGCTTAGCCGAACTCGTCCTCACCCTCAACAACTTCTCTTTCAATTCCTCCCACTTCCTACAGACAAAGGGGGTGGCCATGGGTACCCGCATGGGCCCAAGCTACGCCTGCCCCTTTGTAGGTTACTTGGAACAATCCCTCTTCCGTACCTACACCGGCCCTAAACCCCACCTCTTCCTCCGTTACATTGATGACTGTATCGGCGCCGCCTCATGCTCCCACGAGAAGCTCGAACAGTTCATCCACTTCACTAACACCTTCCACCCCAACCTTAAGTTTACGTGGACCATCTCTAACACCTCTCTCCCCTTCCTGGACCTCTCTGTCTCCATATCGGGCAACCACCTAGAAACCGATATTCATTTCAAGCCCACCAACTCCCACAGCTACCTAGAATACTCCTCCTCCCACCCACCTTCCTGCAAAAATGCTATCCCCTATTCCCAATTCCTTCGCCTCCGCCGCATCTGCTCCCAGGATGAGGCATTCCACTCCCGTACATCTCAGTTGTCCTCGTTTTTCAAGGACCGTAACTTCCCCCTCTCAGTGGTCGAGAACGCCCTCAACCGTGTCTCCCACATCTCCTGCAACTCATCCCTCACACCCCGTCCATGCAATAAGAACAAAAAAAAATCCCTCTCGTCCTCACGTACCACCCCACCAACCTCCGGATCCAATGCATCATCCTCCGACACTTCCGCCATCTGCAATCCGACCCCACCACCAAAGACATCTTTCCCTCCCCACCCTTATCTCCTTTCCAGAGGGACCACTCTCTACGTGACTCCCTTGTCCACTCCACACTCCCCTCCAGCTCCACCACACCCGGCACTTTTCCCTGCAACCGCAGGAAGTGCTACACCTGCCCCCATACCTCCTCCCTCACCCCCATCCCAGGCCCCAAGAAGACTTTCCACATCAAGCAGATGTTCACCTGCACATCTGCCAATATGGCATACTGCATCCGCTGTACCCGGTGTGGCTTCCTCTACATCAGGGAAACCAAGCGGAGGCTCGGGGACTGCTTTGCAGAACACCTACGCTCAGTTCGCAATGAACATCTGCACCTCCCAGTCGCGAACCATTTCAACACCCCCTCCCATTCCTCAGATGACATGTCCATCCTGGGCCTCCTGCAGTGCCACAACGATGCCACCCGAAGGTTGCAGGAACAGCAACTCATATTCCGCTTGGGAACCCTGCAGCCCAATGGTATCAATGTGGATTTCACAAGCTTCAAAATCTCCCCTCCCCCTACCGCATCCCAAAACCAGTCCAGCTCGTCCCTGCCTCCCTAACCTGTTCTTCCTCCCACCTATCCCCTCCTCCCACCTCAAGCCCCACCCCCATCTCCTACCTACTAACCTCATCCCGCCCCCTTGACCTGTCCGTCCTCCCTGGACTGACCTATCCCCTGCCTACCTCCCCACCTACACTCACCTTTACTGGCCCCATCCCCGCCTCTTCGACCTGTTTGTTTCCTCTCCACCTATCCTCTCCTCTATCCATCTTCTATCCGCCTCCCACTCTCTCCCTATTTATTTCAGAACCCCCTCTTCTGATGAAGGGTCTAGGCCCGAAACGTCAGCCTTTCTGCTCCTATGATGCCGCTTGGCCTGCTGTGTTCATCCAGCCCTGCACCTTGTTGTCTCGGATTCTCCAGCATCTGCAGATCCTACTATACTGATTGAGTTTGCATCCCTATTTCCCTCTCATTGTCTCTCTCTCTCTCCCTGCCTGTCTGTCTTCTTCAAACTTCCTTCTGTTTCCCAAAGCTCTGAAGCATTATGAACTATAAGTGTAGAACTTCAAAAAGATAGGGTGGTGGAATGGCAGACAAATGGCAGATGAGGTTCAATGCAGAGAAATGTGAAGTGATTCACTTCAGTTGGAACAATGCAGAGAGACAATGCAATATAATACAATTCTAAAGGGGTTATAGAAGACGGATCTAGGCATTTATGTGCATAATTCCTTGAAGGTACAGGATAACCTGAGGGCAGTTAATAAAGCATACACTTCATTGAGAAAATCTTAGAATACAAGAACAAAAAGGTTATGACCATAACAAAATAAACAGCAGGAGGCCATTCAGTCACTCAAATCCTGCTCTACAATTCAATGGGATCATGCCTGAAGCGGCATTCCTCATGTCCACTTTCATGCCCTTTCCACATAATCAATTAGGGAATCAAATGTTAACAGTCTAACTTTCTCAGCCTTAAATATACACAAGGACTCTATTCCCACAACTCTCTGAAGCAAGGAGTTCCAAAGACTCTTGAACCTTAGAGGGAAAAAAAACACCTCATCTCAATCTTAAATTGGTACACCTTTTATTCTGAGACTATGCTCCCTAGTCCTAGACTTGCCCATGAAGGAAAAATATCTGCTCATCATTTACCCTGTCAAACCCCTTAAGAATCCTATATGTTTCAATGACATCACCTTTTATTCTTCTAAATTGCAATGACTACATTCCCAATTTGTTTAGCCTTTGCTCACAGGATAATCTCTCCATACCAGGGATCACCATGGTGAGCTGAAAATGAAATATCTTTCCTTCAATAAGTGGACCAAAACTGCTCATTGCTGTGGTCTCACCAGCACCTTGTACAATTGTTGTAATTCTTCCCTACCCTTTACTCAAACCCCCTTGAAATTAGAGCGAACATTCCTATAACCTTCCTGATTATGCACTGCACCTGTGTGCTAGCTTTCTGTATTTTGTTCACAAATACCTCCAAAGTCCCTTTGTGTTGCAGTTTTCTGCTGTTGTTTTTCCATTTAAGCAATGCTCTTTTACAGAGTTATACACCATAGAAACAGGCCTTTCAGACTGCTATGTCTATGTCAACCAACTGACAACAAACTACGCCTGTCCCATTTACTTGAACTTGGTCCATAGCCGACTATGTTGTGGCATTATAGTTGCTCATATAAATGCTTCCTTTACCCTGTCAGGCAGGAATTCCATATTTCTACCACACTCTGGGTGGAAATGAAAGTTTCCTCAGATCTCCTTTTAAACCACTTTTTCCTCACCTTAAACTTATGCCCTATGGTCTTAGACATGTCTGCAAAATATTCTCACCTGTCATAATTTTGTATACCTCAAACATATCCCCCCTCAGTCTCCTCTGCTCTAAGGAAAATAAACCCAGCCTATCCAGTCTCTCCTCACAACAGAGTTCATCCCAGGCAATATCGTAGTGAATCTCTCTACAGCCTCTCCAGTGCAATCAAGTCCTTCCAATAGTGTGGCAACCAGAATTATAAACAGTATTCCATCTGTGCCCTAACCAATGTTTTATAAAGTTCTAAGAAGACTTCCTTGCTCCTACATTCTACACTCTGGCTAATGAAGACAAGCATTCTGTATGTCTTCTTTACCTCCCTGTCGGCATGTGCTGACAACTTCAAGGATCTTTTGAATTCCCTTCAAAAATGAACAACTTCACATTTGCCCACAATATATGTACTCTATTTGCCAACTTTTTGCCCACTTACCTCTCTGTAAACTGTTTGCATCCCACTTGTAGCCTGCCTTTCCATTTAGTTTTGTATCATCTGCAAATTTAACTACAGCACATTCGTTTCCTTCATCCAAGTCATTATTACATATTATAAACAGTTGTGGTTGCAGCAATGATCCCCGTAGAACCCCTCGGTTTAAAGGTTGCCAACATGAAAAAGAATCCCTTATCCCCACTCACTGTTTCCCGCCCATTAACAATTCTCTGTTCATGCCAATACACGTATACTACATCAGGCACCACTTATGACTTAACCTTTTCAATGGGTAGAAGTGACCAATATAAGAAGGACAGTTTGCAACTGAATTGGAAAGGGGACTAACTTACTGGCAGAGGGATTTGAACTAGTTTGTGGGGGCGGTAACGAGGAGTTTTGACCATAAGGGAGGGAGTTTGAGGGTTTTGACTTAATGTAAGTGAAGGAACAGTGATATGTTTCCAAGTCAGGATGGTAAGTGGCTTGGAGTGGAACTGAAGGTGATGGTGCTCCGATGTATCTATTGTCTTTGTCCCGATAGGCGGTAGTAGTCATGGCTTGGAATTTGCTGTTGTTGGAGATACATCATGCTACCATTGGAAGTGGGTGCATGTTTATTGGTGTGGTATTATCAAGTGGGTTATTTTGTCCTGGTTGGTGTCAAGCTTCTCAGTGTTATCACAACTGTTCTCAAATAGACACTCATCCATCACATTCCTGACTTGTGCCTTGTAGATGTTGGATGATGGGGCTGCAAGATTCCTAGCCTCTGAATTGCTCTTGTAGTCAGAGAATTTATGTGGCTAGCCCAGCTCAGTTTCTGGTCCCAGTTTGTTAATAGTGGGGTTCTGGTGGTAATGCAAAGGAGAGAGAGTTAGATTCTCTCTTGCTTGAGAAGGTAATTCCTTGTCATTTGTGTGGTGTAAAAGTTACTTACCACTTTCAAGCTCAAGCCTGGATATTGTCCGAGTCTTGCTGTGGTTTGAACACAATGATGCCGAGTATTTTGCAGTCATCAGTGAACATCTCACTTCTGACATTATGATGGACAGAAAGTCATCGATGAAGTAGCTGCTGGATGGGCCTAGGACACCACCCTGAGGTACTCCAGCAGAGATGTCCTGGGGCTGAGATGACTAACTTCTAACAACCTAAATTATCTTTGTGCCAGGTGTGGCTCCAGCCAACAGAGAGTTTTCCCCCAATTTTCATTGACTACAGTTTTGCTAGGGCCCCTTGATGCTATATTCTATCAAAGGTGGACTTGATGTCAAGGGAAGTCACTTGCATCCCACCTCACCTCCAGAATTCAGCTCCTGTTCCCCATGTCTGGACCAAGGCTGTAATGAGTTCAGGAGCTGTGTGGCCCTGGTAGAGCCCAAGTTGAGTATCAGTGAGCAGGTTATTGCTAATTAATTGCTGATTAGTCACCCTGTTCTTGCCTCCTTCCATCACTTTACTGATTGATGGGACAGTAATTAACTGTGTGTTTTGTGCTTTCTGTATACAGGACATATGTGGTACTGAAACAAGTTTGCTAGGGGCATAGCATATTCTGGACCACAAGTCTTCAGTCCTATTGCCAGAATATTGTCAGGGCCATACCCTTTATCGTATCTGGGGCCTCCAACTCAATCATGTTGAGTGACTCAAATTGGCTGAAGATTGACATCAGTGATCATTCACTCGGCACATCTGGCTGAAGACCTTTGTGAATGCCTTTTGCACTGATATGCTGGGCTCCCCATTGTTGAACGTGGGGATGTTTGTGGAGTCTCCTCCTCCAGCAAGTTGTTTAATTGCACACCTTCATTAACAACGAGCTAATCAGAGCTTAGATCTGGTTGTGGAAATTCTTAGCTCTGTCTATCAGTTGCTGCTTGTGTTGTTTTTCCTCCTCTGACAGTTGAGTGGAAGTTGTACTGGGCCATGGGGTTGTAGATTGTATTGGAGTACAGTTCAGCTGCTGTGATGGTCCACCATACATCGTGGATGCTAGATCTGTTCAATGTCCATCGCATTTAGCACAGTAAAAGGTGTGCGCGCGTGTATGTGCAGTGATAGTATGTGGCAGTCAACAGGAAGTTTGCTTGCTCATTTTTGACTAGAACTGATTAGATGTCTAACTCCAAACCTTTGCTAATCACCATGGTAAGATTCAAACTCAAGTCCCCTGGGTCCCCTGGGTCCCCTGAGACCTGGGTTTCTGACTTACTAGTCCTGCAACAATATCATTGGGCCTTCACCTCCCACTCTATTCTTCTTACCAAAGTGCATAGCCTCACATTTTCGTGCATTCTATTCCATCTGCCAGATCCACCCCACCCTTCCCCTCCCAGACTCTGTCATTCTCACCACTTGCCTTCCCACCTATTTTTATACCATTCACAATCTTGGCTATAATACATTCATTTTCCATAAATAATTGTGGCCCCAGCAGTGATCCCTGTGGCTCCATTAGCTGAATGGCAAAAATTTCACCACCCCCTTCCCAGCTCACACCCCAACTCTCTGTCTTCTGTTAGTTATCCAATCCTCTATCCTTGCCAATATATTATTCATGTTGATCATGAAAACCACAAAGAAGCATAAGAGTGGCAGGGCACAGAATGTATTGTGAGTGGGAACTGCGCAACATTAAGCAAAACACACTTTATTCATACTCTATTGTTAAAATACAGCAAAAGAGAGAAGAAACAAGGACACAAGTTGCTGGAAAAGCTCAGGAAGTCTGGCAGCATCTGTGAAGAGAAATTAGAGTTAATGTTTAGGGTCCAGTGACCCTTCCTGTCATCACCAAGAATGGCTTAGTAGAAATGTTTTTTCTAATCATACTATAAATTTCTCAGTATATTGTTAAGACTTCCTTAATCATGGATTTGATAATTTTCCCAATGAGAGAAGTTTGGCCAACTTGCATGTATTTCTGTTTTCCCTCTCCTTCCTTTCCTGAAATGTTTAAATTCCTATATAGTGGGACTATTCCTGAACTTAAGGAACATTGTGAACTGATAGCTACAAATATAGAAGGTGTGCTTGCTATCTCTTTTAGAATACTGGGATGTGGATACCAGGGATTTATTGGAATTTAGACCCTTAGGTTTCTTCAGTACTTTCTCTTTGATATGAATTATCATAATTTTGAAACTCTTACCACCTTTTTGGTTCCCTCTATTTCTGGTGTACAACTTTTGTTTCCCACTGTGATTATAGGCACAAAATATTTGTTTGATGTCTCTGTGATTTCCTTATTCCCCATCATATTTTCTCATATCTCTGTCTCCAAGGGATCAATTTTTTTTTGCTACTACCTATATCTTTGTAAAAGTTCTTACAGTTTGTTTTTTATATTTATTGCTAGTTTATTCTCATGACTTATATTTTTCCTTTTTCATCAGATAATTCCCATCATTCCCCAGTGTTCTGCAATGTCTGCAACCCAGACTGTGCAACTTTGGTTCAGCGTGGCTAGGCTGCAATCTTCAGTCACTTACTGCAATTATGGCTGTTTGGGCTGCGATGCAATCCACAGATTTTGACATACTGCAGTCACAGCACAGCATCAGCCATGCCAGCCTAGGCTCATTAAATAAATAGTTATTAACTTACAGATAAATTAGTAGATATGTCCCACTGTCCTAGCTTGGAGACAAAGAAAAGGGACTCATCAAAATTGGAGGCAAGTAAAGGTAGTTAAAAAGAACATCTCTTCTCCATCTGTTTTGAATTCCCACTTGAACCACATTTCTGACTTTGCATTTGACCTACATACCACAGAGGTTGCATCTCCTTGCCCTCTTGCTGTTTCAGTCTCACTCACTCTCTTATTGCCATACACTGTTGCATTCTCTAGTTCACTACCCTCTCTTTTTTGTACTGATTGGGTTTGCAATGTAAATGATGAACAGTTCCTGATGTTGCTAATGTGAATTTTATTAACTTGCAGGAAGTGAAGCCGGTTTTACAGATGAGGAAATACTCATCGTTTCTGAGCAGCTTTATTCTCTAGACACCAACAAAGCAACGGAGAATGAAATACATCTTAATCTTCAAGGCTTTGTTTCTAACTCGCAAACTGGGGCTAAGATTGATTATGCCCAACAGCGGTAGGTGCAGTTGATGAACTTAAAATCATCCAATGATCTGCCCTCCACGTTCTAACTTGTATCTAGTCTCATTACCCATCATAGAACATAGAGTGTTACAGCACAGGAACAGGCTTTTTGACTCATCATTTCTGTGCTGAACATGATGCCAATATAAACTAATTCTTTTTGCCTGCTTTCCCATATCCCTCTAGTCCCTGCTTGTTCATGTGACCTTTGTGTATGTTTGTTTCTTGGCAAACAATGTCCCAAATTTAAATTTCTCATTCCATTTCTTCACATCTTACTTTTGTTATGGACCAGACCAAACTCCCTCAAAATATATTAAGAAAATAGCCTAGACCCTCACCTTTTCTTATTTTAAAGGTAAGTGCAAGGCGTGCCTTCCAGGTGCAATTTGATGGGTTAACTGGCAGACTGGTTAAACAAACAGAAGTTGCTGGAAAAGCTCAGCAGGTCTGGCAGCATCATCTGGGAAGAGAAATTAGAATTAACTTTTCCACTCCGATGACCCTTCGTCAAAACTCAGTTCTGAGGAAGTTAGCATTAACTCTGATTTCTCTTCTCAGATGGTGCCAGAACTGCTGAGCTTTTCCAGCAACTTCTGTTTGTGTTTCTGATTTATAGCGTTCACAGTTCTTTCAATTTTCATATAAAAGAAAGAAGAACTTACAATAACTTAAATTTTCCAATAGAGTTATTTTATTACTAAACAGCAACTGTTCCAATATAGTAACACACCTTAAACACACTCTTGGTAAAAAGGAATTTAAAAAAAAAGGTGGTCTGGAGAATTGCCTGTGAGACAATGAGAAAAAAAACATCGAGAGAAAACTCAGAAAGAGTGCAGCAAGAGATGTACTGCAGCTTCCAAACCCTGCTGAGACGCCAGCAACAACTGCTACTGAAACTAAAACTCCTGGTTGTATGGGAGCTTGCCCCTCCCATTCAGGCTGCTTCTGTTGTTCCAACTTTACAAAAAAGCCTATGGCCTCCCAAGCTGTTTACTTTCAGTAGACAGCATGATACCTGACTTAAAACATCTCTTCAAAAAAGGACAAATGCAGTCCTTAAAGCCAGAGTATCGTCACACCATTTTGCTATATCTCCAATATCCTCTTTCTCTTCAATCTAGAAGATCCTACATTCTGAACTCTTATGCATTCCAGCTTTTAATCACTCCACCATCTATGTACCATTTAGAAAATATTCTGTTTATCTCTTCTTCCGTCTAAAGTGAATCTTAATATATTTTTCCACATTACATTACACCTGTCATCTTCTTGCCGAATCAACTGACCTGTCTATATCCCTCTGAAGATTCTTCATGTTCTCTTCACATAACTCCTGGTCCATACCTAATGCGTTAATTTAGAGTGTGAACAGCTGAGGCCCCAGCACTAATCTTTGTGATGTTTCGACCCGAAAATGGCCAGTTTAATCTCACACTGCCTCACTGCCCTTTGACTCTTCTCTATTCTTACTAATATTAACCTCAACTTTCAGCCCTTAGATTACATTAAATGTTTAATGTGATACCTTATTATAGGTTTTTGGAAGATCTAAATATGTTACATCCATTGATTTTTGTTTATCCAGCTTGCTGGTTATGTACTCAAAAATAATGGATTTGTCAAAAATGATTTCCTTTTCTTTTTGACTTTGCCCATTCACAATGCCTATGATTTTCAAAGTGCCCTGCTAACACTTCCTTAACAAATTTTTCTAATGACTGATGTCTGTCCAACTGGCCTTTAGGTCCATTTTTTTTTCCCTCTCCTTTTTTGGATAGTGATAGAGTCAGAGAGTCATAGAGTCATACAGCATGGAAACAGCCCCTTCAGCCGAAACTGGTCCATGCTGAACATGGTGCCCACTCAGCTAGTTCCAATTGCCGCATTTGGTCAATATCTCTCTAAACCCTTGCATCCGTGTACCTATTCAAATGTTTTTTTACAATGTTGCTGTTGTACCTGCCTCAACCAATTTCTCTGGCAGCCCATGATGTTGCAATCTACATCCATTCATTAGGACCACTCCAAAATCTTGGGAGTTTTGAAAATCATAGCCAGTTGATCCACTGTGTGAAGATACTGTACTTCTTTTGGGAATCTCTTTCAGAGTGTAGGTCATCAGTTAATTAGAATTTTTCAGCTCTCAGTTGTGTAAATTTCACCACAATATTGTATTAATTAGATTTCTCACTCTCAAGAACATGGAAACTGATTCAAGAAATTTGGTGAAAGATTTGATGATAGGATGTAAAAGCCTTTTACACAGCAAGTGATTAGGGTCTTGAATGCACTGCTTGAGAGCATGGTGGAGAAAAGTGCAACCTTGTTCTTTCTAAAAGAAAATTGATTATTGTCTGAAGTGAAAACATTTTCAGGGTTATGGGAAAAATGTAGGGGAATGGGTCTGGCTAAGTTGCTCTTGCAGAGAGATGGCACAGATATGATGGGCTGAATGACTCCCTCTATGCTGTAATCATTGTATAATTCTATAATTTATGACTCCTAAAGACTTTGCAGGAATGTGCAGAGTTACAGAGCGAATGACAATAAATAAGATGCTCATTTGTAGAGCCATTGTAGACACATGGGCTGAAAGGTTTCCATCTGTCCTGTATAGGTTCTGTGATATTGTCCTTCCTTGTTCTTCATATGGAAATTAATCTCTTCACACACCTCTGTACTAAATTTTACCTATTACTTGTTCCCATATTCCACCTGCATTTTGAAGTTTTTAATACCATCTCCTTAAATTTCAGTTTGTAGATTAATTTAATTTTTTTTAATGTTCACCATTTCTTATCCATCACCATACCTTTCTCATCTAACTTCCCCTTAGCCAGCCCACCACTCATATCTATACAATTTGCTTTATCTAAGTTCAATACTTCATTCTGGACTCATCGCTCTCAGACTCCACACGAATTTCTATTATACCATGAAGATCACTTACTGTTAGATTATTAATTAACATCAAGTATTATTAGATAGTAAATCTTCCATGGTTAGTTCTATCTCAAATGAATTTGCCATTTGCACTTATCCAGATTGTATGAAAGTTAAAATGTCCTATGTTTATTACATTGCCTTTAGTAAACGCAGCTACTCCACATTACAAGGCTGACTGACAATCTAAATTGGTTGTCAGAGTAATCCCTCCCATACTATTTAGCAAGTGCCATCCAATAGCAGAGTCACATCAAACGTAGAACACTGAGTTGTGAAATGTGCAAGTATGGGCACTGCTTTGTTACCTTTTTTCAAAACATTGCTTCTTTTTCATTTCTTCAGAAAATTTCTGTCCTACCATAGAGCTACAGTTAGAGGGGGCCAGAAATATCTGTAACTAGTATTTCTGACCCTTGTTATTCTTTATCTCCATCCATGCTGATCCCATATGCTGTTCTTGGCCTTTAATATCCTTTCTCACTATTGTCCTTATGTCAAGTTTTGCTATTAGGGCTATTCCTCTTGTCCCACCTATTTTCTCTTCTCAAATCAAATAAAGACATGAAATTACTCACATTTATGCAGCTCTTTTCTTAAGAACCAGACATCTCAAAGCATTTACAACCAATGAAGTACTGGGGTTGTTGATTTGCTCACCGAGCCAGCTGGTTATAGTTCAGATGTTTAGTCATCAGTGCTGCCTTCGATGAAGCAGCATTGTTCTACTGCACTTAGTATTTATATGATCCTGCTGGAAGTGTTTTGTGTCATTTCCAGTTCTTAATTGGAGGGCTTTGAATATCGAGTCTAATTCCACATGTTTATTGATTGCATTATGGGTGGAGAATCAGGCCTCTAGGAATCCCCTTGCATGTCTGTAGTTGGCTTGGGCTAGGATGGTCATGTTGTCCCAGTTAAGTTGATGGCCTTCATTGTTCGAGTGTACTGAAATGAGGGAAAGTTTGTTGTGTTGTTTTGCTGCTAGCTGGTGTTTGTATATCCTATTAGCTAGTTTCCTTCCTGTGTGGCCAATGTAGTGTTTTTGGCAGTCCTTGCACAGTATTTTGTACACTACATTGGTCCTGCATGTCCTGGGTATGGGGTCCTTGTAAGTGTGTGTCGTAGTGTGGCTGTCAGTTTGTGTGGTCTCCTGGTTCTAGTGGTCGTAGGAGTCTAGTTGTCAGTTCTGATATGTTCTTGACATATGGTAATGTGGCCAGTGTATTAGGTCGTATTATGTCCTCTTGGTGTTGTCTAACTAGGATGCATCTGCAGATGAAGTTGCTGGGGTATCTATTGATAGCCTTGAATAGGTGCTCCTTCTCCATCTTGTGTTGTTCTGGCATGTTGCAGTGGTTTGAAGCCCGTTTGAATAGTGTCCTTACACAGCTTTGTTTGTGGACATTGGTGTGATTGCTGTGGAAATTGAGGATTTGGTCAGTGTGTGTTGCCTTCCTGTATACTGTGGTTTGGAACTCACCTTTCGTCATTCGTTCTACCTTGACATCTAGAAAATAAAGCTGATTGTTGTTTTCATCTTCTCTTGTGAATTTGATCCCCGTGAATATGTTGTTGATGAGGTGGTGTGTTTCTTCTAACTTAGTGTGTTTAATGATGACAAATGTGTCATTCACATATCGTATCCAGAATTTTGGCTGTATGCGGGGGAGGGTCGTGCGATCCAATCTTTGCATGGCTGCCTCTGCAATAATTCCTGAGAATGGTGACCCCATAGGTGTGCCATTAATCTGTTTGTATACTTGACCATTAAAACGTGAAGTGTGTGGTGAGGCATAGGACCAGTAGCCTGAGTAGGTTGTCCTTGCTGATGAAGCTGTCAGTCAGTGTTCCTGCTTCCTCTAATAATGTGGCCAAAGTTTCTTTGGCTAATGGGATGTCAGTGGACGTGAATAACACTGTAATGTCAAAGGATATCATAATCTTGTCGTCATTGATTTTGATGTTCTTAAGGTTATTAAGCAATTTCCCAGTTGAATGGATGGAGCGGGGTAATCTGTCGACCAGGTGTTTTAGTCTTTG